ACAGAACCAGTCATTTGCACCCAATTTTAGGGGCCTCAGACCCAGTGGCTGTCAGCGGGATGGTTTGGCCCCAGGGAGCCTGTGGCATCTGCACAGTCTGGGTTGCCACACTGGGGGGTGCTGGCCTCTAACGGGACCAGGGAAGCTGCTCCACACCCGCAGGGCAGCCCAGGCCTTAGAACTATCCAGGCTACATGTCAGGGGACAGGCTGAGGACCCTGGTCTGGATCATAGGAGGAAGGGGCTCCCCCTGGTCCTGGGGTCTGGCAGTGGGGCTCTGAAAGGTGTGAGGACCCCTGCTCTACAAGCAGACCCACTCCTGTACTATTTGGGCCTCATGCCTGTCGTGGACGGAGACTTCATCCCCGACGACCCCATCAACCTTTTTGCCAACGCGGCTGACATCGACTACATCGCTGGCACCAACGACATGGATGGCCACATCTTTGCCAGCATTGACTTGCCAGCCATCAACGTGGCCTTGCTGACCGTCACAGGGTGAGTAGGGTTCAGGGCTAGGGCAGTGCTGGGGGCCTCTTGGGGAGGGCTCAGCTGGAGAAGGTTGTTGGCCGGTGTAGCGGGCCATCCACAGGCCCCTTACGGTGGTTTGTGGGGGATGCTACCGCTGGCCCAGGTCCAGGAACAAGTTTTGGCTTGTCCCTTCAGGGAGGACTTCTTCAAGCTGGTCAGTGGCTTCACCATTGCTAAGGGGCCCAGAGGTGCCAATGCCACCTTTGACTTCTACACGGCCCCCTGGGCCCAGGACTCCTCCAAGGAGGCCAAGAAGAAGACAGTGGTGGAGTTTGAGACAGACGTCCTCTTCCTGATGCCCACGAAGATGGCCGTGGCCCAGCACAAAGCCAACGCCAAGTGAGGGCCGGGGCAGGGGAGGCCTGGGTCATAGACCTGCCCAGCGAGGCCTCCCCAGTGGGCGGCTCAGGGGGTCAGGGAGGGCCGGGAAAGCCGTGATGGGGTCCCAGCGGTGCCTGCACCCTCTGCCTTGCCCAGGCCTGATGAGACTTGAGAAGGCCCCTCCTCACCTCCCAGCTCAGGGGCCTTTACAGGGCCCTCCTCAGCCCACAGGTCTCCCCTGGCAGCATCCGCTATCTACTCCCCTCCCCCACACTGAGGGGGACAGAACAGAGATGATGATCTCTGTTGTGGGTTTGGAGTTTGCCAACATGCAAAACAACTTTGGCCTGTGGCCACCTGGTAAACCTCCAGTGAAACCAAACATAAGTTAGGGATGCTGACACGGAAGGGAGAGAAAATGATACCATCCGTTGAAGAACAAAAATTCATTTGCCGAAAAAATGAAGGAAGACTCCTCAATACACAGAACGCACAACCCCTCTGCCTTCCCTTCCCCGGTGCAGGGATCCAGGTCCCTCCTGAGTCTGGGGATTTCCTGGCTCCTCCTGCTCTCCCCAGGGCCTCCCTCCAGGGCCCAGCTCTGGGCTGGGCAGCCCAGGTGAGCTCCCTGCCAACCTGGGCCGTGTCCCTCCCTCCTCAGGAGTGCCCGGACCTACACCTACCTGTTCTCCCACCCCTCTCGCATGCCGGTCTACCCCAAATGGGTGGGCGCCGACCACGCTGATGACCTCCAGTACGTGTTTGGGAAGCCCTTCGCCACCCCCCTTGGCTACCGGGCCCAAGACAGGACTGTCTCCCAGACCATGATCGCCTACTGGACCAACTTTGCCAGAACTGGGTAAGGCGGGTGAGGCTGGGCCAGGCCTCCTGCCACCTGGGCCCACATGCCTGTTACCTCACTTACACCTAACCTCCCTGAGCCTCAGTACCCCTGTGTGTGAGGATAGGATGTACTGGAAGGGCGCTGGCTGGTTTGGCTCAGTGGATAGAGCCTGGGACAGTGTCCTGAAGGGTCCCAGGTTTGATTGCCATCAAGGGCACGTACCTCAGTTGTGGGCTCAAACCCCGGCCCTGGTGGGCGTGTTGGGGATGTCGCTCTCACATCAATGTTGCTCTCTCTGACTCTTCCTCATTTTCACTCTCCATTGAAATGAATGGAATAGTATTTTTAATTGCGGGTTAAACTAAGGGGGGGGAGTACTGGCTGGGCCTCAGTTCACGCACATGCCCAGCCCGTGTCCAGGAGACAGTGAGGCCCTGGAGGTTCGGGTCAGCATGGAGGTCTCCAGCCTCCTGTGAGCCCTCAGACCCCACACGGCCTTTTCCTCATCTGCAGGGACCCCAACCAGGGCCACTCGGCTGTGCCCACCCAATGGGAGCCTTACACCCAGGAAAACGGCAACTACCTGGAGATTAACAACAAGATGGACGGCCAGTCCATGAAGCAGCACCTGAGGAGCAGCTACCTGCAGTACTGGACCCAGACCTACCAGGCACTGCCCACCGTGAACGGAGACGTGGCTGGTCCTGTGCCCGCCTTGGACGACTCTGAGGCCATCCCCTGAGCCCCCCCTTGGTGACTCTGAGCAG